TTCTTGCATACACAGTCCCCAAAGTACTCAGGTGCTGCTCAGGTCTCAGAGTTCTTGGATGATGGTACTTATGAGCTCTCTATGTCGTGTTGTCTACTCTATGAACCTTGCGAGATTACTCTTCCTTTTTTTTTTTTTTAAGTTAGATTTAAAGGAGTGTTTTACCTGAAGGCTCATTTAAGGTTATTTTTCAAACTACAAATTGGAGCACATTCATGGATTATGAAATAGCTGGTTACAACTGGAATTTTTTAAATAAAATAAAATAGAAAATAGTTTGAAAAAGACAAATGTTATATGATTCTACTTATATGAGATCCTAAGAGTTGTCAAATTCATAAAGAGTATAGTGGTGGCTGCCAGGGGCTGTGGGGAGGGAAGGATGGGGAGTGAGGGTTTAATGGACATGGAGTTTCAGCTTGGGAAAATCAAAAAGTTCTAGAGATGCATAGTGGTGATGGTTGCACAACAATGTGAATGTACTTAATGTCACTGAACTGTACACTTTAAAATGGTTAAAATGATAAATGTTATGCTATATATGTTAATATATTATCACAATAAAAAATAGTGTGTGTCATATTTTCAGAAAACCTTTTCCCCTGTTTTATATGTGTATACTGGATTACAATAAAAGTGTGCTTGTTATTTTGAGTTAGGGTTAAGACATTTGAAAAACAACCATTGTAAGGAGTGGAAGAAACACAGTGCAACAGGCACACACGTCCTCCTGCATCCTCTCTCACCCATTCAGCACTCTCCAGGGATGGACAGAGCAGTGTTCCTGCAGTGTGTAGGGGAGAATTTATGTGAACCAACGTTGAGAGACAGTGCCCCATTGAGATGAATGCCGATATGCTGTTGTGAGATCCCTCTTAGGAAGCTAAAGAGAATCAATTAACATTAACCTATGTAGCCAGTATGGTACCTTGTCTTGCCAACAAGAAAAAGAAGAATGGATTTTTTTTCATCGTTTTTTAATCGAATGGTAGATATCATGCTAAGTAGTTTATATGCAGTAACTCATGTAATATTTGAAAAAGGTAGGTCTAATTTCTGTACTCATTTTATAAATGAAAAATACTGAGATTTAGCCAAGTGAAATAACTTGCCTAATACTACAATATAAATTATAGCAGTGTATACATTTCATTCTGGGTTCTCCTACCTTGGTCATTCTCTGCTTAATCTCACAATCATGGTGGAAAGCAAGGAGGAGCAAGTCATGTCTTAATCTCTATGCTATATTATACTACATTATAAAATCTTTATTACCATAAAGGGATCCTTACAGAAGTGACATTCAGGGCTGGATCTTTAGGGATTGTGCCTGGGTCCCCACAGTGCCATTAAGATAGGATCAGTCTACATCTAGATGTACTGGACACTCCTTGTTTAAATAATTGATCCCCTCTATAGGTCACTCAGGACAGTTGGTAAGTAATTCTTTGGCTAAAATGAAGGTATAAGTAAAACACATGCCATCCTTCTCACTGTCTAGAATGCTTCCACTGTTCTAAAATAACACTTAAATAACCCTCTGAATAAATTACTGAATCGTGAATTGTGTGTATTACTATTTGAGAGATCTTGCTTCCAGGAGCTATTTTCCAGCATGTTAAAAGTGAAGAGCACCAGATAATTCTGTGAACACTGCCATTGGCCATGAATTTGACCTGTTTTGAAAGTCTTTTGGGAAAAGTGGAAGTATTGAAATACAAATACTATAAGTTGTGAGATTTTTTTACTTTTGTTTTTCTGCTTATTATACATCTGATGTTTGACCTTTTGAGATCTGAATCAGATTAAAGTTCACTGTTGTACCTAATTAGGGAAATTATACAAATGTAGCTACTGCAAGTCTCTAGCAGAGTCATCACTCATATTTATGACTATTTAGTCGTATTGTACTTAGATCATTTTAATCCTTAGGTGAAAGGTAAACACATAAATGCTACTTTTATAGTATATAATGGTGATTTAAGTTAAGAATATCAAAAACTATAAATGTGCTAATGTAAAATAGAGTTAAAGTATACTCAAATTACATATACCACATTTTGTGTTTAAGAAGTGTGTGATTTTGTTGACTCCAGTTTTTAAGTAAAAGTTTTAATTTTTGCATACAGATTAACCTAGTAACCATTTTAGTCAGGATTTCAAGATTGAAGGAGTATTGCTGACTAGAGTAGTGCTACTAGCACTAATGCTTACTGGAGTATGATTTTATGATTCAGGAGCTACTGTATATACCTAAAAATATGTCTTACCATTGCTTTGTGCATTTAATTTAGGAAAAGTGAAGAATCAACCAATTTGTTACAAGTAAAGATTGTATTAGATACTCATGATGTTTTAGCAAACTTTTGCAATATATTATAATATTTGCCACTCTCAGGAGATAGAAAAATAAATCAAGAGTGTCAAAAACTGTAATTGGCCAGGAAAATGCTTCAGATAAACCCCTCAAACTGTGTACCCATTTTTAAAAACTGGTCCCATAGAACTCTTGCCTGGATTTTTAGTAATATTTTGACTAACATTGTGCCCTATTTCTAAAAACTTACATGAGTAGTATAAGGGAAAGAGTTCAAATGTGTAAAACACATATACAACTAATATATTTTCCTCTTTCTGAATAAATACAAGTTTTAATTTTATCTTGCCAATGAAATCTTTTGTTAACTGTACAAATTCCTGGAAAGTTACTTGGATTACTGTGCCCATTATAGATGTTTTAAGAATATACTTAGCTGCATTTTTGTGCATAGTCAATAACCTAGTGCTCCAAAGTCTGTTTTCTTTGTCTGCAATGGAGGTTTACTAGCATTGCAGTAAATGCTTACACCACATAACTAAACTCTTCGAGGTTAAACAACTCAGTAAACATGTCGCAATGCTCCCAGCTTTCATTTTCACCAGCCTGTTTCACAACCTCTTTCAAAACCCAATGGAAGATTCACACCTCTGAAAATCCCACATGATTCACCCATGCCATTAAGTTCCTCTTGTGTTTCCACTCTGGCAGCACTTCCCACTTGCCTATTCCTGGGGGTTGGTTCTGTTTGGTAATTTTTGTAAATGTCTACGTACTGAGTATCACCAGTTAGACTGTGAGTTCTTTGAAAATCAAGGATTTCTTTCTTTAGTGTTTCCTGTCACAGTTCTTCCTAGGACACTGTAAATCACATTGCTTGTCTTTAGGCTCCTCATGGATTTGGGAGCCAGGCTGTGATAGCTACAGAGCATATTTCGGCATGAAAAGAAGGGAGTGAAAGATAGTGAGTAATGGGGAAAAGGCAACATCGATTCAGTGATCTACAATTAACAGGACAACATCAATTCGGTGATCCACAATTAACAGGATTGTTGTTCTCCTCCAACACTCCCAAATTCCCAGGTTTTGTGCTCCTGTTAGTATTAATGCAATCTAGGCAGCATGCTTCCTGTGCACAGCAGCAGCCACCATGTGCAGACATCTTCCCTTCAATGGATACCTTCACTATTCATTTTAATCAGATTTAACTCGTTTTAATCAGATTTAACTCATATAAGCTGGGAGTTGTGGCTCACGCCTGTAACCCCAGCACTTTGGGAGGCCAAGGTGGGTGGATCACTTGGGGTCAGGAGTTCAAGACCAGCCTGATCAACATGGTGAAACCCCATCTCTACTAAAAATACAAAACTTAGCTGGGCGTGGTGGCAGGCGCCTGCAATCCCAGCTACTCAGGAGGCTGAGGCAGGAGAATCACTTGAACCTGGGAGGCAGAGGTTGCAGTGAGCCAAGATTGTGCCACTGCACTCCAGCCTGGCCTGGACAACAAAACGAGACTCCGTCTCAAAAAAAAAATAAAGATTTAACTTGTATAAAATAATGTTAAGAGGATGGGCAAGAGAGGACCCATGCATTGTAATTGTCCATGGAACCCTAATTCTTCTGGACAAGGTCATAACTTTTATGGCACCCATTACAGTAGGGAGTGAGTGCTTAATGAAGAATATTGACTGATCCCTATGGGAATATGGGTATGGACAATCTGGAGAAGTAAAACAAAAGTGAAATATTTGGCCAGGTGCAGTGGCTCACGCCTGTAATCCTAGCACTTTGGGAGGCCAAGGCGAGCGGATCACGAGGTCAGGAGACCAAGACCATCCTGACTAATACGGTGAAACCCTGTCTCTACTAAAAATACAAAAAATTAGCTGGGAGTGGTGGCGGGTGCCTTTAGTCCCAGCTACTCGGGATGCTGAGGCAGGAGAATGGCGTGAATCCGGGAGGCAGAGCTTGCAGTGAGCCTAGATCGCGCCACTGCACTCCAGCCTGGGCGACAAAGCGGGATTCTGTCTCACAAAAAAAAAAAAAAAAAAGTGAAATATTTATGGTGACACTGAAGTATTGTGTTTTTGAGTGGCAGAGTCACACTCTGAACTGCACTGATCTTAATAACAGAACGAATGGCCCATAAGTTTTGTGAGATGTGGATGGAAGCAAATTGATTTGGAGATAGATCAACATGAGTTGGCATTTGAGGAATCCTTTGAAAGTTTTCTGTGAAGAATTCATAGAGAATAATCAACATGATTCCAGCCTGGAATGTAGTGCATGACAGCCTTGACCTGCTGTGCTTAAGCAATTCTCCCACCTCAACCACCGAGTAGCTGGGACTGCAAGTGCATACCACCACATCCAGCTAATTTTCTGTAGAGATGAGGTCTCACTGTGTTACCCAGGCTGGTCTCGAACTCCTGAGCTGAAGTGATCCTGCTACCTCGGCCTCCCAAAGTACAAGGATAACAAGCATGAGCCACTGCACCCGGCCAAAAACGAACTTAGTTTTTAAAAAAAACTAATTTACTTGAGAAAATACTGAAGATTTGATAAAATATTGACTATAGAATTTTCAGTACTAGTTTTAGAAATCCTTATAAAAAGACATTTCACTCATGTAATATTGGGCAATTTTGGTTATTGAACTTCTTTTATCACTTCTTTCCCATAGCTCTGCAAGTGAGTCTGGTTCTCAAAGCACTTGTGATCCACTTGTGACTCCAACAGCCCTGGCTGCCTGTACCAGAGTTGACTCCTGCTTTACCCCATGGTTTGTCCCATCCCTTTGCGTTTCCTTCCAGTTTGCTCACCTGGAATTTCATCTTTGTCATCACCTTGACCAACTAGGCACAGGTACTCTTTTCTTTAGCATCAGAATAACATCCATTTAATACTTACCATTTTCTCTTGAGTGTTTTCAGAACAGAAGTCATCAGTCTTAGATAGCATATCTTCAGGAAGTATAAAGCGAGCAGTGGCAAAGTTATCCTGGGGTTGACTTGGCAACACAGGCATAACCTTTACTTCTGAACCAGCTTATGAACCTATTATATAAATTGTCAATGGTATTGAGCTGACATGTTTTTGAATGCTACCTAATGAGAATTTTTCAAGGAAGTTAATTTTACTATAATTCCAATTATGATCTTGTATTAGTTCATTTTTCACGCTGCTGATAAAGACATACATGAGACTTCGAAGAAAAAGAGATTTAATGGATTTACAGTTCCACATGGGTGAGGAGACCTCACAATCAGGGTGGAAGGCAAGGAGAGCAGGTCACGTCTTACATGGATGGCAGCAGGCAAAGAGAGCTTGTGCAGGGAAGCTCTAGTTTTTATATAACCATCAGATCTTGTGAGACTTATTCACTATCAGGAGAACAGTGCAGGAAAGACCTCCCCCACTGATTCAGTTGTCTCCCACCGGGTCCTTCTCACAACATGTGGGAATTCAAGATGAGATTTGTGTGGGGACACAACCAAACCATATCAGATCTCTTTGAAAGAAATATGTCTGTTCTTGTTCAGCATCCTGAGTCATTACATTAGTAGCAAATAGATTCCAAAAATACTTGGTATTGCCTGATTTCAAAAGCATGAGCACCTTCCACAAAAGATAGGCACAGTCTCAAATTAATTTAAAGGGGTATCATTTTTACAAGTTTAGAAGGAAGTTTAAATTTTCCCACACACCAAAAGTGGCCTTTTATAAGTTTACTAATGTTATTTGAACAATTATTTCTCAATCTTTATGTTCTGTACCAAACCTTTTCTAGGTGATACATGTTGATTCATGTATTAGGTTTTTAACCTACATGTAATAAAGGGAGGAGGAGAAAATCAGATTAAAACCAAACATAGCTGGCCGGGCATGGTGACTCACGCCTGTAATCCCAACACTTTGGGAGGCCGAGGCAGGTGGATCACAACGTCAGGAGATCGAGATCATGTCTCTACTAAAAATACAAAAAAATGAGCCAGGCATGGTGGCACGTGCCTGTAATCTCAGCTACTAGGGAGGCTGAAGCAGGTGAATCACTTGAACCCGGGAGGCAGAGGTTGCAATGAGCCAAGATCACACCACTGCACTCCAGCCTGGGCGACAGAGCAAGACTCCGTCTCAAAAA